TTATATGTCTATAACGCTTTCTTAAAATAACATACGTACATATAATTTTTTGTTTACAAAAAAATTTATAATTATCTTATATATTTATAAATTGATAAAGTTTTTAGTTATCAATAAAAAAATCTTTTAAAATTACGTTCAAGTGACCATCAAGCATTCAATCAATTTGTCAGCATATTGTAGCAAATGTCACAGAAAATAATGCTAATAGGCAATTGTTGACGTAAATTGATTAATAATACTAAAGACTAAATTAAGACAATAAAAAAAATTTAATAAAAAATAAATTAAATTTCTTAAGATCAGTTTGATTTAGTTTAAATCACAAACGTGACCAATTTATCGTTTATATAATGAAGTGCTCAAGAAGTTGATTTAATAAAATGACTGATTAAAAACTTTCCTAAGACCAAAATCATATGTACTTTTTGCAAGGCTGTATAATAAATAAATTTTAAGTACTGGATTTATTGATATAGGACGATGATATAATAAATACAGTTTTAAACTTTAAGAGGTTGAGAATGACGATATTTGGAAAAGTCATTTAACTTGCAGGGCACTTGTAATTAAACGGTTTTGACTGAAAGGTTCAAGAGTGTTGATAAGATCCCGTCAAAATTACTCGTGAAAAAAAAAATTAATTACGTATGTTTTCAAGTACACAATTCAAAATTGTATTTGAATTAATGTAAGTCTACTAAAGAAACTAAACTGTATGTATATTAGTACCTATATTGACTAATATGACTTGTAATGAATCAGGTTTAGGTGATGATCTAAAGATAATTGCAAAGTTATGACAAGAAATTAGTACAATTTAACTTATGATTAACATAAATGCTTATGACGTTTACAAATTTAAAAGAAATCATTAATTTGACAACTGAGTGAATATCAATCAATTTAAGTACTAATTTAATGTACTAATTCTATTTTAAACAAATAGTGCAAAATTGCATACTGGGAAAAATCTTTGAGTAATGATACCTAATTATATGCGGCGCTAAAAAATATTCAAAGTAATATATTTATTTTGTCATTTAGAAAATAAATTTGTCATTTAATAAATTAGTAATATACGACGGAAAGGAAGTAGAAACTGTGTGCCAATATTGTAATCAAGTAGATTTATATCTTATCTACAATACTTTTGCTTTTTTTTTTCTAATTTTTATTCTTTGTAATGATTACTTTCGATCCATGTGGGTATCAGGAGAGAATGAATGCCCGCTCAAAGAAATATACACAACTTCACAGTGAATAACTTTATCTTTTAGTAGCTTTTAAAGGTAATCGTTATGTTGCAATTCAAATGAATGGAAAAAAACTAGTATTAAAAGGTTACTTATCTACAATTAACCACAAGTGTTATTAATTGTTTTTAATGCTCAATCTTCAACTGATTCCGATTTTCATTATAAAATGTGAGTTTATTTTTTTAACAGTATTATAAATAAAACGCACATTTTGTTAAGCCAATGAGAAAAATAATTTGAAGTGCTTTTTAAATTTGTGCGTAAGCACATTAAAAATTTAATAAACCTTTAACAAAATTTTAAATACGCAAACTATTATTTACCCATTGTCACGTTTGCCTTATAAGATTTTGTGAGGTTTTGGTTTTGGTGCGCAACTATTAATAATTTTAATATTTGACAACAAATAACTAAAAATAAAACTTTATCTGCAATTTAAGCTCTTAATACAAAAACATGACCAAACTAATAAATACTATATCTACAGTAAAAAATTTAATTATGTAAAAATTATACTTCGAGTCATTTAATCAAAAGAGAATAATTTTTGTTAATCAATATTGATGTCAACAATATAAACCAAAAGTCAAGGATCTCTAACGGAATGCAGATTCAATGATTAAGTATATCTTATCTAATTTCTTAACTTATTAAATATTAATATCACTGTCAAAGATAGGGTTTAAAGATTTCCTATAATCTCTGTTCAATACATAAACAAAAAAAATTAATCCAAACTAAATATGGATTACTTTTTCTATTTTAATTTCATTGTATTTATAAATTGGCGAAAATAAATTTTATTTTATTGTATTTGTAGTATTATTTTAAATTAAAAAATTAAGTCACTTTTAGAATTTGCCTATTAATAAAATATTTAACGAAGTTTTTCAAATGAATTGCAAGTTGAAGACATATTCATACTGTTAATGGGTCTTCTGTTGGGAAACAGAAAATATTTTATTAACAATTCTTTCAAAAAAAAATGTGTAGAAAACAATTTTATTATTAATATTTTAAAATTGTGATTGCAGCAGACATGCAAACATCAGAAATTTTTTTCATTGTTAAAATCTAAGACTGTGTAGAAAACCAATTAATAACCGGAGAGCTATACAAATAATTATAAAAAAATGATTTTAATCATTTTTATAAAGTGCTATTTTTGTTTAAATTAATTAGTAATCGAAACCTGTTTTGTTTAAGACGTCAAATTAATTGTCACTTTGTTAATATACTTTATCTAATAAAAGAAATATGTACAATAAATGTCCATCCTTGTTAAGCTATTCTTACGTTTATATGGTCAATAGAAATTTGACATTGGCTTTAACCGTTTTAAATACAGACAGATCTGGATCTGATGTCAGACAGATCTGAATCTGTTGTCAGATAGATCTGAATCTGTTGTCAGATAAATCTGAATCTGATGTTAGACAGATCTGAATCTGATGTTACACAGACCTGAATCTGATATCAGTCAGAATTGAATCTGACGGGAAGCAGATCTGAATCTGATGTCTGACAGATCTGAATCTGATGTCAGACAGATCTAAATCTGATATCATACAGATCTGAATCTGATATCATACAGGTCTAAATCTGATGTCAGACAGATCTGAATCTGTAAAAACAATTACAGAAGTTAATTTCCTGCAGTAACAAAATGCATTTGACGTCTGGATGTTATCTCAGATAGATAAAACTCGATATTCTAATTGCTACTACAGTTGAGATTGCATACTCAAGTAATATTAATACAATGTGACAGGTTCTTATAAATTTGAGTAATCAAAGTATGCGTTTTCACAGTTCTTATTTTTATATTTATTACTTATTTTCACATATCAGTAAAATTTATTTTAATATAATTAAAATACTTTTTATGATAAAACAATAGATTTGATCCGCAAACTGTATGAAAGAAATTGCAACAGTATCCAGACGTGCCATAGTAAGAATCAATAGCACGTATTTCAACTGTAGTCCACTAGTTACAATATACTATATTTCAAACTCATGTTTAAGTAAATATTTGGGATGTGTACTAATCGAATAATGTTCAAAACAGTAACACTAGTATAACCACGATGAAGGGCGACTTCCTTTAATTTGGAAAGATAAAGTACTGGGTCATCTGTCATAAATGATATTTAAGATTGACGCTAGCGTGTGAAATGTAAAGACGACTGGGATACTGCTTCTAAGATCTTATTAAGGAAACTAGGTATTAAATTCATTAACTAATGCTTCATCGAAAAGAAACCAAATTTTAATTTTTTACAATATGCGATAATGAAATTCAATATATAGATATCATTATTATGATCCTTGTTCTAGAAAAAACATTTACTTGACATTTCTTGCGAAATTAAGATTTCTATACTATGTAGAGTATCGATCCAATTTCATTTATTCAGCTACTTCATAATAGTTCTGAATGCACATATATACATACCTAATGCAACTCTTGTCAATTGCGTTGACATGTTTAAAATTAAATATTTATTTTCAGTAAATTGTGTATATATCTACAAATAATTAGGTAATAAAATATATTGGAAATTTTGAAGGTAATAAAAAAATCGTTGTATATACTTATATCAAATATAGATTCACGTTACCTAAGCGGAAATCATGAAAATTATGGCAATTGGGGCTTTTTTCAAATAGTCAATTATTTGTTTATTTTAATTGAAATTGATAATAATATTAATGAACTGTATAAACACTTTCAACTATTTTTAAGGGGATATATTATTTAAATTATGATTCATATAATTAAGAAATTAAAATTGTGTGTTAAACAATTACTTTCATTATAATTATTATTAATAAAAGTAATTACTAAATATATAGTTATGAACTAAATGGATAGATTATTCATAAAGAAGGCATTTTTAATTATTTTATTATGTATATAAACAATTTTTATTTATTTATGATTGTTATAAATTTTATTTCTTGTATTTATTTTGCAATGAATGAAACATACACTAAATATACAAAATAGAGGACTTTTTGAATACACCTTATACAAGTTTATTTTAAGACGGGTCTATCAACGTACTACAGTAAACAATATCTTTGCAAAGATACATGATGTATCAGGCTCAGGGAATTCTGTTGTAAGTTAGAGGATTTCGACTATAACTATAGCTAATTGTATTACGCTGCTGCTAGTAAACTAGCATATCTCTAATCGTAATCACTGATAAATAAATTTTAAGATTTATGTGAATATGCTGATATGTGAACAGATGTTGCGTATTTTGCTATCAGTTTTAAGTACGCTGGAGCTTATTATTGTATCCTGCGGTTGAGATCATACAGTTAAGGTCTGGAACTTAGCCAATTGTAAATTGAAGAACAATCATCACGGTCACAATGGTTATATGGCGAATTTACAATCTTTGCGTAGTCTTGCAATTAGTTGCGATAAGTGATATTTTTATTCTGTTAAGTCTACTCTAATATATATTCGGAGTTCAGAATCAACTGCTTTTTAAGTTAAATAAAAAGTAAAATAAACCATACAATGGAAACTAGACCCATTACTTCATATGTTTTTAACTGCTATAATAAAATTTTTAAACATATAGAATATCAG